AGAGATGGCTAACATTTAGAGGCCAAAATATACTCAGGAGCTAATATTTTTGAAAGCCACCAAATGAGTGCTTCAGCAGCCAGCTGAAAAAAAGGCGTTTTAAATAAGAAAAATACATGTTTGTTCAGTGAGCAGGTAGGTTATTTTTTTCCAGCACAGTGGCTTCAAGCAATTCCACAGTAAATTTCCTCAGTGGATTTAGATGCATTTAAAATAAGCATATAAAGCATACTATGCCTGAATACTCTTTCAAGGAGTACCTAGTTAACTGGATCGCCATATGATTCTTAAATCAGTGCTTATCTGGACCATTTCTTGTTTTTACTTCCAAGGAAGCATTATGTAAACAGTAGTGAGTTTGACAAGTTTTTAATAAGCATATACTTTCTTTCTAGCATAATCAACACAAAAGGGAAAGTTGAAATAATCTGATAACTGATTAATTCATAACAGTGACTACTACTTATTAAATTGTTGGAGAAGAGGTAGGGGAAAAAAGGAGGAAGACCGCAATCCACAAATGTTTCATACATACTGATCTACAGTATTTACCTTTCCAACCTCATTTTATTTTACAAGCCTATATTATTTGCAGTACATATAATCTGAAAAAAACACCAACTATTGTTTTTACAAAGAAAGATGATCCTAAATTTAGAAATAATCCCAAATAAAGATTAGATAGGAAAAATTAATCTTTCATCTTTCTCATATTCTCAGGTAATTTAAGATAGCCTTCCATTTAAAAAATAATATTTTTTTTGAAGAAATTTTCCTTTCAGGTAAATAATTATCTTCTGGCTTCAAAAAAACTGACCTAAAAATTTCCAGATGATAAATGCTCTTTCCTGACTCACTTCTTACTAGCACTCTTTATAAAGCTTTGAGAGAAAATATGACGTTGAACTAAAGTTTATTTTGGCATCAGCGTAACTTTTAATGTCCAGCACAATTTTTGACCTCAATTAATATTTTTAGGAAGATATGAGAGATCTGTCTGAAGAATCCTTCTCTGGGACAGTAAATGACAGGATAAAATGCCCCATCTTCTCTTTCCCAAATGTGAACTGGAACAGAGCAAAGTCAAATGAATTTATTTATTTATTTATTTGTTTGTTTGTTTATTTTCTATGCCGCCCATCTCCCCTGGATTTGAAAGTATAGATATGCAATGTGAAGATAATCACACTGGACTTTCTTACCTGTTATAAAGATTACTGCAGTTAAACACTGAAAGTGCTATAAACATTAAATTGCTAACTGACACTGGAGAATTTCCATGGAACTTTTATACTGAGGGGAAACCCACAGCACCTTCCCCTTGACTCAGACAGAAAGAGTCAGTATTTTTACTTTAAACTGTTAATGTAATTGTTCTCTTTCATTGCACCCTACAACCAGCAAAAGGAACTTTAACATCTGAACATTTATTTACATTTTTAAAACCACAATGGGGATTAAATAGAAAGATGTATCACTTGAAATGTAACTAAAAACATCAGGCTTTGCATGAGTGTGTTTGCAAGGGAAATTACATTCATATATTTAGGGTGCTACTGCCTTTTCACTTTTCCCCTAATTCAAAAAAGGTCAAAATGCTTAATCCAAGCTGATTAATTATCCTTTGCTACAATCTTAAATTTGTTCAAAAGAAAATCCCACTAAGTTCAATGTAATTTACTTTTTGGTTGAGTAAATCTAGGGGCATTTACTTGAGAGTTAGCCTTAGTGATCTTAGTAAAACTTCTATGTACAGTGGTACCTCTAGTTATGAATTTAATCTGTTCCATGCCTCTGGTTGCAGCTCGAGTTGGTCTCAAGCCGAGGTAAAGTTTCCCATAAGGTTCAATGTAAATACGGTTAA